AGCCCACAAAGCCGTAAAGGCCAGAAACCAAAACTAAAACCAAAATCGAATGAGACAAGGTAAATGTTAAGATTACACTAAGAAAAATATAGATGAGCCTAGTGCTTAGGTACTATTGAATAACAAAAATTTTAATTTATGTAAAATACATATATATAAAAAAAATTGATAAGAATGGCTGGTGAAAACTTGTTTTAAAATATTAAGTATTGTTTTAATTAATCTAAGAGCTTTTTATTGAAAAAAATATTTTCTAGAAGTTAGAATTTTTACCCATCAGCATAGCAATTCAAAAAGAAACACTTAAGAAACATAAAAATATTGAGAAAATATATCCTTGAGTTACAACAACAGACAAGTCTTTTAGAAAATTATTAAAAAAAAAACATAGTACGTTTGCTTGGTATTGTATAATATATTTTTTCTGTGTTACAAATAGCAATGCTGGAGGCTTGCTGAAAATTGTGACATTTTGCGGCAGGTTAGTACAGCTCAGCTGGGGAATCCTCCATCACCTCCCAGCCATATCTTCCAGGTAGCAGGAACTAATGGCAAAACCGATGTCGCTGCTGCACAAACCGCACAGCAAATGCCGCTGCAACAGCAGTTCCAGTTGCTGAAGTTGCAGCAGCAACACCGCACTAGAAATGGCAGAAGCTATATGGGTATAAAAACAGTGAATATATGCTAAAGAAAACAAACTTTTTTCAAACCCAAAAAATATGAATACAAATCGAACTAAAGGTAACGAAGTATATGAGATAGTTGGAATAATTTAGCAGCAATAATTGCTTGAAACTACTTAAAGAACTAGCCGAAACTAGAAATTTAAAAATAATTTATAGCAAAAAAAATCCTATCGAATAATCACTGTAAAATGACCAAAAGCAGCAACAGTTGACTGAAATGCCTTGACATTGCGTGTGGATGTTGTTGTGAAGAATGTTACTGTTGTTGTTGTTGTTGTTGTTTTTTCTGCTGCTATTATTGTAGTTGTTGTTGTTGTTATTGCTGTGGATAATTGGCGTGCGGTGGCACCACAAACAGTGAAAAAGAGACAGAACGATGGCCCAGAGAGAGCGGAGGAGAGCTGGAGGGAAGATGCTACAAACGCGTTAGCAATGCAATTTATGTGCGTTTAGACGCATATTTTGCCAATTAAATATTGCGATAAAGCATGCAGCCTATACACAAAATACACGCACACAGCAGTGCACTCGTAGAAAAATTGGGCAGCTATTTTGAAACAAATAATAAGGCTAAGCTTTTAGTATTCATAAGTAATTGTATATAAATACATAAATACATAAATACATAAATAAATAAGTATTTAAGAATTTAGATATGTACATTTATAATAGAAACTTTGGGAAAAAATCGTAAATTAATTTTTTCTTTAATATGAGTTTGAAAATCTTTTTAGGAATTTTCATATATTTATTTTATTGAAAACTTTCAAGAAAATTTCTTAAGTTAATACTACTAATTAATAGCAAGAAAAAGTTTTTCGATTATTTCTCAAGTTTTTAAATTTTTTTTCAATTTTTTAATAATTTTTTTATATTTTAGATTAAAAATATAAATTTTTTAAATTTAGATTTCCACCTGCACTATTTAATTATTATTAAAGTAAGTGTTAAAAAAAACGTTTTTTAAATATTAAAAGCCTAAACCTTATTAGGCTTGTTAGGCTAAAAGCTTTATTTGTTCAGAAATTTTTCTCAGTGCATACATGCTCATCTGTGGAGCAGGCCAGCTGATAAATGCCGCTGATAGCGTCGCTGACGTTGGCAATTTGGTTGAAAATTTATTTGGAGCCCGCAGACGTCGCCTCGTTTGTTGTTCCAAGTTTGTGGTTCTCTCAGTTGTTGTTGCTGTTGTTGTTGTCGTTTTTGCTGTTGTTGCAGTTGCAATAACAACATCTGCCACTGCCACTGCCTCGCTGGATGTTGCGCAACGCACTTGGTGCGTTTGCAAATTGACATCTTTCAATTAAATCGAACCTCTCGAACAGAATCGCAAGGAAATCGCAAAATGGCAAGGAATTGAAAGTCTTCTGGCTACGCACATTGTTGTTGTTAGTTGTTGTTTTGGCCACATTGCCACAAAAGTTGTTATTTTTGTCGTTGTCATCGTATCCATTGTCCGAAATTGCCAGCTTTTTTGTCCGAATTGTCAAATGTTCAAAATTATGCAATTGAAAAATGTCGTGTGTTCGAATACACTAAATATTATTTAAAGTGCTTTTGGGAATTATTCAACAATTTGCTGAGGTATTTAGTTTTGCAAATAATACTTAACTTACTTAGTTATTTAAAATATTAGTTCGTAAAGGGAAATAAAAGAGACAAATAGCTGTGAGATTTCTTTGATAGTTTTAAAATGAATTATTAAAAATTTTGCATCAAAATTCTTACAAATTCTTACTTTTCTTTGTTTAACATAAATAAACAAAAATTATCTTTATAAAAAAATTAATTGGTTTGATTTATATTCTATTTCTCAAAAAACATAAAGAAAAAAATATCCAAGAAAAAATCTCTATTTTTATATGAATTTTGATTAAAAGTATAATAAAAATTATAATAAAAAATTTAACATTCAAATTAGCTTAAAATTTATTACGAAAAATTTTAATTTTAAATATTTTGTATAACTAGTTTTAATTTTTTAACAAACTTTAAAGAGTATCAACAGCAAAACTTAAAATATTTTTCAGACTTTTTCTGCAGATCACCTGCAACATGTTGCTGCAACATTCAATGGCCATTTCAACCAAAAAAACAAAAAAAATTCAAAAAGAATGACAATCTTTTGGCTAAAAACTCAACTCATTGGCTATGATATTCAAATAGTTTGGCAGTTGCATTCAAATACGAATTCAGACCCGAATTCGAAGTTGAAATGTTGCACATTTTGATGTTTGATGTTTGATATGCGCTTTTGGGCAAAAACACGTCAACCTGACCAAATACATAAAGTACTAGCCACTTCTACGTTTTTGGCCAAGCATCAGGAAAATGTTGAGTTCATAAATGGCCAAAACAATTTCATGGCAAATACATATGCAAAAATGAAAAAAAAAGTCCAAGCTACTACTGAGACAACTCTCAAATGGGTTATGTTGCCTTTCAATTGATTAACTTTCAATTGCATAATGAAACGATTTTTTTTAATTCAAACACTAGCATGGACATTCTCTTTTAAATTTATAAATTATGATATCAAAACAAAAAATCTATATCTTAAAAATGAACTATTCATTTAAATATCTAATAATAACATCTATTAATATCTATGCCTCTATTCCCAACCTCCAGACTTTTTTCCACAAATTAATATTCTTTTCTTATATTTTTCCAAGCTCATTTCCAAGCCGTCTTGTATCATTTGGTTATTAAGCGGTTTTTTTGTAATTTGAATGTAATCGCAGTCGGTTTAAAGACTCTCCGACTCCGACTCCAAATCCAATTAAATGCATGAAAACGTGAAAAAAATAGGGAAAGGGGAAGAAATTATTATGAAAATTAGCCCAGGCTGGGGCAACAATGACGATTTGCGTATAATCCGGAAAGGAAATATTATGCAAAAAAAAATTAGTTTCCCCACAAGAGGCACAACTTCTATTTATCATAATTGAGGTTTCCAATTAAAAGGCTCGGGGGCAGGAGTTTGAAAAGTTTCCGAAAGGGAGGGCCTCCGCCAGACGGCCCAGCCCGGCTCTTAGTTTCCTAATCCATATCGAAAGTGTATACGGGAGGGACCTCTTAATGGATTCCCCAAGAGCAATGTTTTGTACTTATTTTTTTTTTAAGGCAAAGTAAATAATTCCATTTTTTTTGTTTTTTAGCCCTCTTGGGACAAAGCGAAATTAAATTAAAAATGCATTTTGGGCGATCCAGGCAAGCTGAAATGAATTAAGCCATCATTCAGCAGTCGTCACGCAGTGGCTAAAAGAAATGGCCGAAAACGTGTTGAAAGCCATGTGTGGCAAGGGCCGTACCCCCCAACCCCGCCCCACTTGCCACTTAAAATCCCCCCTCTGGCCACTCAAAAGAACACACACCTTGGCGTGTCAGTTTCACGTGCAGTGGCAAAAGGTAATTCATCTTGTTCCCATACAAAATATATACAAGTCGGTATATATACACACAAATATATTTCTTCCCTTCTATATACAAAAATATATGTTACATATGTGTATGGAGAGGGCCCCCTTTACTTCCGAAGATTTCAGACTTTTTGGTTAATTAAATGGCCGGGCGAGGCATTTAAAAAAAAAATTATAAGCTTTCAAAGAGACAGGCCAAAAAATCTAAAGGTTGCAGAATTAACTGAAAAAATATTCATGTTTTAATAAAAATTTTATGTTGATTAACAATTTATTTAATGAAAAAGATAGCTCTGCTAACGCAGCCGGTAGGATTCGAACCTACGCTCCCAGAGGGAATCTGATTTCTAGTCAGACGCCTTAACCACTCGGCCACGACTGCCTCGATGTTGGCCATAAAACGGACAGAAAACTTTTGGTAACAACAGTCCTATTGACAGAAACTATAAATAGATTTGTTAAATTGGTACTGCCTTTTATCTTTGGCCTGGCATTCAAAGGCCTCATGAGATTATATTAAAATATTCGTTGAGAGATAAATAATTTAAATCATTTAGTTACTTATATACTTATCTGAAAAGTTATTTTATACAGAATAGTCTTTTTTTTTATAAAAAAAATTAATAAAAAATTTATATATGAACAAAAATTTATATAGAATGTATATGTATATAAACCAGTCCAGGATCGGTGAAGTGTTTCAGCAATAATGTACCAGAGGATCTTCTTCTATTCCTCAACTCTGTTTAGTCCGAAACTAATTTCATTTTATTCAAATTTAAAATAGTATAATAAGCAAAAGAGTAATATAAATCATAAAAATAAAATATTTTTAAGTAAATTTTACATTTAAATTGTTTCTAAAGTTCATTCAGAAATCCAGCTTTTTTTAATCATCGCTTCGGATTGCGATTTGTATTAACTCACTCCTAGTGGGAACGGAATTAGGGCTGGCAAATGAAAATAGAATTTCAAAAATGATTATTATACAAAAGTTATTTCAGAAGGTATAAAACAGAAGGTTAAACAAAAATATAATACACACCTCTCATTGAACCACCAGCCATAGCCATTTTCCTTTGCCAAATTGTGATCAGGAACTCCATCCTCATCTCGATCAAAAGTGGTAAATTTTGTGCCCAGTCGGAGGCCCAGATGTCGGTCTCCAATACACTTGCCAATATTTTTCACCATATATCCTTCACTTCTATTGCCCACAACAAAGTTGTCGCATACTGCCCTTCCTCTATTAAAGAACAAAGTCAACTTGGAAAGTCTCATTTCATTCGTCAGATGGTGCAATCGGTCGAGTCCAATAAAGAATTCAAAAACGCTTGTGTCGGGATTTTCAAATCCACTTACATATTCCTCATAGTTTCGGTTAAATTTATTTGAATCACCTTTTTTGGAATAAACCATAGTCCATCGATATCCCTCTTCCCACCATGCATTTGGGTAACAAATCACTCTAAAAGGATTTGAGTCTGGGATTCGGATTTCATGGATGCCAGCTAATGAACAAATATCTAAAGGCACAGGGAATTGCGGTGTTTTATTTTCCAAATTATTTTGTTCTGCGATCATACCTTTCGTTTGTGTTTTCAAATTCTGCTGATTATTTTTAATCGCATCTTCAGTTTGTGTCACTTTCAGCATCTTTTCAATTTCTTCGCGAAGTCGATTTGTTAAATTTGATAGCTCACTTTTTCCTTTTAGGTCACTTATATTGTTTATTAAAAGATCGATTTGCACATCTTTTTGATCAATGATTTTTGACTGCAATCTCTCATATTTGCTTTGCAACTCCGAATGATTTTCCTGCAAATCCGAATACTTCTTCTGCAAGGCCGAAAAATCCTTTTGAAACTCTGATATCAGGGCTTCCTTGCCCTGGCATTTTTCAAAGTATCTCAATAAAGGCTTGACAATTGGGTAACAAATAGAGGCACACTCGTCCTCCTGCTCCTCCGTAAGATAACAAGACTGTGGAATTGGAAATTAAATTAATTTTCGAACAAAAACACTCCAAACGGCTATTACTTCTTCCGATCCAACGGTGGCGGATATAAAAAAAATTGCAGAGATGAGTACCACAGGAACAACCATTTTCTATTTTATTATTTGACTTTTTTGTGGACTTGAAGAATTTAAACTGAGGCGCCGAAACTCACGGCTCCGGCATTTTAAAGCATCTCCGAGCTTGAGCTTGGCATTGAGCTGGAGCTTCAGGGTTTTTGGGGAATCCGTACTTTAAGTGCACATATATTAAAAAGTTAATAAGAACCCAATGACCGAATGCATACGGATGTGATGCCAAAGGTCTGAAAACATTTGATTAGCAACTGGAACTTGATTATTTTCTTCTTATGTATATAAATTTTATATAAACCACAACAGATAAGACTTTTAAAATATTAAAATGAAGTAAAAGTCCTCTTATCTTTTAAAATTAAATGTAAAGCTTAAAACACGTGTTAACATTTCAATAAATTATTATACATACATAGATGTTTTTAAATAAATATTAAATAAATATATAAGCTGTAAGCTGGAAGAGTGTGTAACTAAAAGACTTGTTTTTTTGGTAAATTATTATATATGTAGACAAAAAAAAGTCCAAATATTTAAAATTTCATAATGATCAGTTTTTTTTTATTCCGTTTTTTACTTTTTGTTTTATTTATTTTAGTCAGCCAATATTTATATAAACAAGAAAGAAAAGCTAACTCTGGGCCGAAGCGTGTATACCCTAACAGTTATAAGCTGCTTCTATTATAAGATGTGGGAAATTTTTTGTTCTATATGCCAATAAAAAAAACATCTCTGTAATGCAGGGGCTTAAGGTGGCACCATCGCAGTATTTAAAAAAAAATGTAATTTTATTATTTTTCAATATACATACATAAGTACATAAATGAATTTTTAATTTATTAATTTATTTATCCCTGAAAAAATCGGGGAAAAGCGCTTTAAAAACATGAGTTACTGTTGTTGTTTCCGGAGTATTTTCTTCCAGTTATAGAACATTGATTTAATCGGCATTAGTCTTCCTTATTTGTTTAGAATTTTAATTAAAAAGATTACTTTATAATATACCTTACTTTGTCTGTAAATGGAAGAGAAAACCCACCGTCCTAGAGCCTGAAAATGAAAGCAGAAGCTCTTGAACTCCACACACCATTGATCTTGGAGCAGATTTAATGATTAATCTTCGTAATCTTGGGAGAAGAGCAGTCTCAGCTTCTTGTTTTTGTTTAGTTTGTTTCCATTATCCATTATCCTATCCAAGGCGATCCGATCCGATGCCGATGCCGATTGCAAGCTCGATTCCCACTTCCCATTGAATTGGCGAGGACCTGGCGATCGCAACGTAATCAATTACATGACCACGCACATTGGCTTTGATCATTTCGGTGGCCCATACCACTCCCCCCTTAACACTTTATGCCACCGACCTGTGGTGACAATGCGTTCGTTGTCTTAACCCTCTACAGCCCCCAGACCCCCACTATGTGCCCGGTTAACCCTCTGCCTGCCCCGATCAATGCAATCTCGATATCGAAACCGTTTTTAATGTGCACCTTTTGTTCTTGTGGCAATTGCAACTTCTCTCCCGGCCCCTGACATTGCTGCAACTTCAGTTACATACATACTGTCTCTCGTCCCTCCACCTGCCCCAACCCCCTTGTGGCAGGGGCGGCGGATTCAAGGGGGTATCCAACCGACTACTGGCTGCCGAAATGTCAAATGCCAGGCCATATTTCTTAAACGCCAAATACTTTTTGACATAATAGTCCAATTACCTTATCGCGCGATCTGAGATGCGGTCGCCGTTGCAGTTGCACGTTGTTCAGGCTGCTGCCACAGTTAGTGATGGCAAAAATATCGACAAAGCAACTATCGTATTTACATTTTATTTATTTTTTGTAGAATTTATAGAATTCTCAAAGTTTTTGTTTAATTTTAGGCATTAAATAATGTTATCACCTTTTTTAAATTATTTTAAAAATATTCGTTGTTAAAAAGACGATATATACCGCAGTTAGAGATTGAAAAAAAATAAAAACTAAGCAGCTACGTATTTAAATTAAAAAAATATTATTTTTTAAAAAGAAATTATATAAAGATATATATAACCTTTATCTTTTTATTATTTTTATTGATGCACATTTCTTATAATTTTGTTTCTATTTTTTCTGTTTCTGCTTCAATTGTATTGCATCTGGTTGATGCTCAGGTTGAGGCAGGAACTGAACTGAAGCTGCAGCCACTGCGCGATTATTTATGGCGATCAGCGTTCGTGGGCCCAGGCCCAGTAGCAGAAATTCCATTTAAATTGCGTACCAGCAACAACAACAATAACACCAACAGTAGCAACAAAAGCAACATTAACAAAAACAACACTGGCAACACCAGCAACAACTGCAATTGTTTCTTATGGAAGCAGCGTTGGCGGCGATTTCCTCTGAAGAGGCTAAAAAAAAACCATTTGGTTGGCTAAAAAAAACAACAACATACACAAAAAATAGAAGCCCAGAAATATAAATAAAAGCAAAAAGAAATATAAACAAGAGGATTTTATATCTCTTTCCTTTTGAGAGGCTCAATTCATTTAGAGGGTTTTTGGCCAAAAAATAAAAATAATTTAAAGATGTTTTAAGAGAAGATATTTTAATGTTTAACAAAATGAGAGAAAGTTTATTTTATATTCCCTTAACTATTTACAAAATTAAAATAAGACTTCATAAGATTACAAGATTTTGCATAGGTATTGTAATTATGACTTTCTAGAAAGGTAGGAAAATATTAGGTAGGATTAAACGTTTTATAAATGATCCTAATTTTTCATCCTTTTTATCATCCTAAATTTTTCTTGTCTAAATTGTTTAATCAATTCTATAACATTCCATAAAAATTGTCTATCTTCATCTAAATATATATTCAAACTGAATTTCAATTTCTAGCTTCTATTTAAATTTTTTAATATGGAATATTTTCAACATCACTGGCAAATGGGCGGAAGAGAACACCTTGGTAAGATCCCATGCTCAACATCTGTTCGGTGCAGGACAATCGATTTGGCGCAAAGTGTTGGACACACACATACTAGCACATGATAGATACTTAGATACTCGGGCTGAACAGATACGGATACAAAGATACTTGAGAGCTCTCATTCGGTCAGTTGTAAATGAGTCTCGAGGGCCGTTGTCTGGTCTGACCTCTCAGCCCGCGCCCGTAATATGTCTTGTTGCTTGTTTGACAGTTGTTGTTGTTGCTGCTGTAAGTGTACTGGAAAAAAATATTGTAAAATTTGTTTACCAAAAGCTTCTATAATATAGACATTCTATTATAATTTAAAATCGATTTAGTTAACTTGAATGTTATTATATAAAAAAAAAATTACAAGACTTTTGAGTATCGGGTATCACATAGTTAAGAGAGTTTGAAAGTAAATCTTAAGAAATTTTAATCTTCCAGTGTACATCAATTGCTATTGCTTCTGCTGTTGGCAGAAACAATCGTAGTTATATTTTTAAACGCAACTACGCGCTGCTCACAGCGATATTGATCTTATTTCAATATGCCACAGCCCCATCTCCCGACTTGCATCTCCCATCGCCCCGCCATCGTCTTTTAATTTGCTGCTGCGCTTTAGCTTTTGCGACTTGAATGTGGCACGTTGCAAGTTCGCCTGGCTACCAGGCTGCAAGGCTGCGAGGCTGCCACGCTGCCAGGTTGCCAGTTGGCCAGTCTGCCTGTTTGCCAGTCTGCCAGTTGCAATTTCCTTGTGGCAGTTGACGTTGTTGCCACTAGTTTGGGGGATCGCACCTAGAAGAAAATCCCTTCGAATCGTCGGCATTTGCTTCATTGATCTTTTGGCTTCTGATTCGGATTCGGATTCTCCTCTGTTTTATTTTTATTTTATTTTTTTTCAATTGTCAACTGAATTGGGCAGGGAAGGCGGTATCCTCCTCACTTTGATTTAGTAAATTGTAATTACAGTTGAGCTGCCAGTGGGTTTAACAAAAAAAAAAAAACGAAGCGAAACCCAATTTCAATTGGTGAGAGGTGTCTGGGAGATTTACCTTGAGGGGCTTGTCTTTTTTTTTAAGATTTTGATAAATGGATAAAAAAAAAATGGTGACTTTTTAGGTGTGCAATAAAAATAATAACTTTTAATTCAATTTAAATAAATGCATGTTTTTAATAAAAAAAGGTCAAGGAAGTAAAACCGAAGGAGGAGTGTTAGTAGGAAATATTATTTAAAATAAAAATAAAATTAAAATAAAATATATTAAAAAATTTGCGTAAAATATTTAGTTTAGATTAATCTATTAATATTATTATTTTAAATATTCTAACCGTACTATATATTATCTAATGACCATTTTTTAAAATGTCTTTGAGACTTTCTTTAGAATGCTATTAAACCAAGTTTTGTCTCATGAAGTACTAATGATATGTATTTTGTTTTATGACAAGATTCCTTGATTTTCTATTTAACGTTTTGCCATAATTTAATCAATATATAGATAAATAAAAAAATCGTATTAAAATTGTTTAGATTTTCCTGACACTTATTCCCTTAGTTTTATCAAATTTTAACAACTTATCCTAGAAGTTCTAGGCTAGAACTTCTTTTTCAAATACCTTTTAGAAAAAAATTTTTTTTTTCAATGATTTAATGACTAAACCACCACCCAATTTACATTTCTTGGTGTCACTTTTCTGTTCTACATATTTTTTTGGCAATTTCCTTTGGAATTCCCTTTTCAAATCATTGACTTAACTTTGAGTCCGTAGTGTTGGCAAAGTCCGGAGAGTGAGGTGTCTGGAGAAGTCCGGACAAACTAGCTACAACAATAACCATAACAATAACAAATTAGCATCGCATGCTCCCCGGCGATTAATTTATCCGTACACCGACTCTTTTAGCCTGTTTTTTTTCTTCATTTTTTTAGTCTTTTTTACGACCATTGTTTGTAGCTCATTAAGGAAATTTTGCGCGCTTCAACGACGACAAACGCCTTGCCGACAAAGGAGAAAAATACTTGAACTACAAAAGATACAAAAAAAAAAAACAAGGTAGGCATAATAATTTGAGGCCAAAATCGCACAGTTTATGCAA